AAACACCTGTTCAGCACTTCATGCCCATCTCTAGTGGCCATTGTGTTAATGGAGAAGGGGCCCTATAGGCTTAAAAGCTGTACACCCCCTCGGGAACATTTGCTAATGGAGAAGGGGCCCTATAGGCTTAAAAGTTGTAAAAAACCCCAGGGTACATTTGCGACTTAGACATGTTGGGATGTGACTGGCTGGCACTCACCACAGGCGTTCTGTTGTCAGCAACATCAACACCATTCACTCCCTTTATCATAACATATAAAACAGAAATGGTCAGCTATAGCAGCCTTGTAGGATCCACTTTGTTTCCTAGTCATGCTCCTTAATGCAGAAGACACTCTTCGAATTAAAGAATTCTGATTCCAGGAATTTATTGTGCAAACTAGAATTGAAATAGGACTCAGGTGTTCCCTGACTGCTGGTTACTCCAAATCTTTCTCATTTCCAAAGGGCAGAGGGAATGGAATCATTTTGCTGCTAGTTTTGTTAAACAATTAGAAGTCAGGACTAACATGACATCCTCATCTAAAACCTCAACTAGAAGTCAGCAATCCTTTTAGCAAAGTCACAGAGAGATCTTCAGATTTAGGCCTCCCTTCTGCTCGCCCTCATGTAAGGCCTACTCCCACTACTCAAACCATTACCTGTTGGTTCCATATGCAATCAGGTTGACTGGGAGTAGGGTTGGGATAAACCTACAAAAATCTTTCACAGTCCTTAGCTAACAATAGAGCTGTCCCTTTTCAACAATCTTTCATATATATATATATATGGGCCTTCCAAAGTTTTCTTCCTAGGGAAGAGTATGCTTTAATAGGCCTTGTTCAGTTTGGCATGTCTGGTTGAGTGTCGAATTAAAGACCTAGTTCTCCACAATCTCTCTGGTCTCTCTTGTTATCAAGAATCTCATAACTGTGTTTCTAACAAAGATTACACTGATATTTCTCTCCAGCGACATGTCCTGCAGGGCTGTTTTGTGGTCTTCTGATCAGTAAAAATGTAATAACATTTTCACATAGTCAATATTTAATTCTGTAAATGCAACTGGTAGTTGTAATCTAGGTTATTAACCGCACGGTGATTTATGATGGAGGGCAGACAGCGCAGGGGAGCACAGCACCAAGAAGGTCCTCTGGTAACAATAAAAATGTTATAAATTTCATAGCTTGGCCTGAGAAATGTATTTATATCCTACATTAAAAATAGCTTTTTATAAATTTTAATGACCCATGTTATTAATGGTGCTGTCATCATTACTCCCTCCAAAAAAACTATATATATATGTATCTATAATTCTTTTTTTAACTTTTCCATCAGATTTTTGTTTTAAATTTAGAAAAAACCTTATACTCACCCACTCCTGCTCTTTTTCTTTTTTCTTTTTTTAAAGGAATCTTTTAGAGTTATATAAGTCTGGCTTTGTTTCATTAGGCTGCTAAGAGTAGTTAGCATGAAGTTTATGGCCAAAGCAAAGGCTGGGCTAATTGGGGATGAAAACAATTGCTTCTCTATCACATTCATGGGAAGGAAACAAAACACTGTACCAGAACAAGGAATTTAGATCTCAAATGTTTTTCTGAAGCTCTTTTAATCAAATACCCATGATCAGAAGCAAAGGTAGAAGAAAAGTCTATCCCTTTGTTTTCCTGGAAAGAAAACCACAGATCCACAATAGCCAGTAAGAATCATGAATATAAGAAATGTTCATTCAGGAAAACAGAGACCCAGGGAGGGGGGGGCATTGGCATGGAGAGCAGCACTGTAACTTGCCATTCTAGGCATTTTCTCACGAAGCCTATGGCTTGTGTCAGAGTTAGGGATGGAACTTCCAGGGAAACCTAAAGGGAAAGCCCCACAGAATAGGCTCTGTCTTTCAGTTTTTCAGACATCCATGGCTTCTCGATTGAGAGCATCTGAAATCCTTAAGAGTCAGCATTAGAGATGGGCGCAAACCTCCCTGCCAGGGACTGGTTCAACAGCCAAAGAGGAGGAGGAGGAGAATACCCGGTTCTCCTCCTCCTCCTCCTCTTTGGTCGGGGGGGGGGTCATTTGCCAGGAAAGGGAAAGGGAACAAGCAGCATGAAACTCCGAAACAAGGGTCGTTCCCATTTCTATTCACAATTCTGAAAAAGATGGTGCCAAAATGTATGGCTTTCTTACAAATTCCCTGTACTGTATTGTTTTACCTCTATTTGAAAAGTAAACATAAATTTATGTGGCAACTCCCATCCTTCCACCCTTTCTGACACTTCCTCTCCATTGCCAGGCTTCTTCTTCTCCCTCCACTTTCCTGGCATTGATCCTGCCTGGCTCAAGCCTCCTTCTTCCTCCTCCTCCTGTCATTGCCTCACCTCATCAAGCCTTGCTCTTCACCCCATTTCCCGCCATTTCCACTCCCCTCTCATCTCCCAAGGGACCCAAGCCACGGGTCTTTCCTGTCCCTCTCCTGGACCCACCAAACTTTTTTTAGTGGCAGAGATCTGAAGGGAAATCCCAAAATGAAAGTGCCCTGAAAAATCCAGGTGTTTTCAGGTTTACTGAAAATGCATACAGCTCCCCAAAATGAAAGAGAACTCCCCACAAAAGACCCAAAAGGAACGTGGGCCAACACACATCCTGCTCATTCCTAGGCAGAAGTATGGAGAAAGACAGAGCAATCTGTCTAATTTTCTCCCACCTTTTTTTTGTCAACTTTATGAAGAAGCCTGAGGATTGTGTTAAGGTCTTACAGAAAACAAACCAATCAAAATTCCCGCTCATCTTCACCAAGTTCAAAAGGTACAGTTATTCCCGGCATAGAGAGAATCAACTTTTGCCTGGCATCTGTTGCACTGCTGAAAATAGATGAATAGCTTGTCAGGAGAGAGAAAAAGACATTCAACTCCACAAAGCCAAAGGGGTAGGTTTCTGTTGCTCAGGTAAGGAAGGAAAAGGGGGGGGGGAAGAGAAAATGAGAATCAGACTAATACCCAATCAGAGGCCACAATTCAAAATTCATAAAGAGATGGAGAACTGGGTCCTTAAGAAATAATAGCTCTAGTGCTGTGTGGGTAGCAGTTGCAGAAATAGAGGTTTGTGCCCGACAATGCAGATCGATTCCTCACTGTGCCTAAATGAGAGGGGCTGAACTTGATGATCCATAGGATCCCTTCTAGCTGTACAGTTCTGAGATGATAATGATGATGATGATTCAGAAACACCAGGCACAGTCCACATTATAAAACATTGACTGGTATTATATAACAGATACAATTTTTAACCAAAAACCTAAGTATCTGTTAAATATCGGCGCAGTATGTATGCTGTTCAATACCGCTATTTTTTCTAGCTCTGATGGTGTGATTTCTGAGATCTGAAACTTTTCTTCTTCTTCTTCTTCTTCTTCTTCTTCTTCTTCTTCTTCTTCTTCTTCTTCTTCTTCTTCTTCTTCTTCTTCTTCTTCTTCTTCTAATGACAGGTTCTCAAGAATTCATGTCTATTTAATATCATCCAAAATAAACAAAACATTGGTGGATTATCCACATCCAGTAGAAATTACTGGAAGACACAAAACATGTGTGATCTCATAGAAGTGCAGCCAGAAAGCCCCTCTGTGACTGGGGGGTTCATAAGATCTCTCAATTACTTCCTTGCCAGAAATACCTTGTCCTGGATCCTACTCGATGGGAAAATTGAAATCTTGTACTCCTGAACTCTAAGCAAGTGGGGAGGGGAGCATGACATACTTTTGCTACTTGCCACTCATTGGTTTGGTAGTTTTTCCCCCCTCATCTCAATCATAGAGCTGGACTTTTCCTATTTCTGGCTCCTTTGTTATTGTTTCTACAATTTTTCCATGCCCACTTTTCAAGAAGCCCACAAGGAGCCTTCCTCCGTGCCAGAGACTCCATGTTTTTCCTCTTTCTTCTGGTTATGCCTGCAGCAGAAAACTAAGTATCTGTTAACATGCATCTAGAGCAGTGGTTCCCAACCTTGTGTCCTAAAGTGTTCTTGGACTAAATCTCCCAGAAGCCTTCACCACTAGGTGTGCTGCCCAGTATTTCTGGGAGTTGTAGTCCATGAACATCTGGGGACCCAATGTTGGGAATCACTGTTCTAGTTTCCATGGCTGAGTGAAGATTTGAACCCAGGGCTCCTGAGTCCTAGTCCATCACTCTATCCATTACACCACACTGTCTATCCCCAAATTAAAACTAGCATATTAGTAAAAGTTAGAGTAATAATGAATGCTGCCAACATTTTGTTCATTTCTCATAACAATCTGAACACTCCAAATGTTTTTACATGACACTTGATTTCCAATTAAGAAACTGGAAGCGAGACTGTATTTGTGCATCTGTTTTTCCCACAGTTGAGGTAATATTTTGAAAGAATCTTGGGGGGGGGGGAATCCTTATCTTGTTTGTCTCTTGGAAGAAATGAACACATTGCTTCTGCATCTGGAGTTCATACATCTCCACAATCCCAGTCTTTTTTCACTGCAGGAGCTCATAAGGAAATCAGGCTTCATAGCTCCTTTTAAACAGGGGTGGCCGACTTCTGAAGATTTGGGGCTGAATTTGTGCCCTTCCCTGGACTTTGGCAAGCTACATCCTCCCAAAATTCCTAAGAGAGATGGGGGGAAATCCTAAAATGGCAATTTGGAGCCCCAGAAGCTCCCCATGGGGGCATGATTTGCTGTGTAAATATAATTCCACTCCCACCCACCCGTTTTAAGTCAGAAAAGGTTATTGTTGGAAACTGGAATGAGATTCTCCGCTTTCATATAAATTCAATTAAGAAATAAAACATTTTGGTTTGAGACATATTAAAGGTTTTTTGTGTTAGCTCAAGCTCCAAAAGGCCAGAAGGGAAAGTAAAGAAGTTTTCAATAGCTTAAGCTGCATGCCCTTGAAAGAAACAAGTTATTTTCTTATAGCCAATGAGTAAAGCCACAATTATGACATCATATAAAGGAAGTGGTTGTACTAATAGAGATAGAGGGGGGAAAGAGAATAGTAGTGCAATTGCCTATAGATGGACCCTCCTATTTCTTCTGACTTGCCTGTCTTGACTTGACTACATGGCTTGGTTGGAGCCAGCTAAATAGGCATGCTCAAGATTGGGTGGAGATTCTGTAGACCCTTTTCAGTCTACTGTACCTTTAAAACTTGAAGGCAGCCCAGGAAGTCAACTTGCTTTGCCAGGTACTGAAAAGCTGTAAAGAAAAGAGAGAGAAAAATCCCTCACCATGCCCCCTCCTATCTCCTCCAGAATCTTGGAGGAAGCTTTCAATTTTTTCTCTCTCTCTCTCTCTCTCTAAAAGATACAGTGCATCAGCTCTGCTCTAACTCACTTCAGGTTTTTTTTACTTCCACCTGCTGCTCCACAAGCTGAGGTAGGATTTTTTTTTTCGATTTTTCAGTTACCCCATATATTTTAGTGATTGAGCTGTTTATGAATGACTAACAATATATTGCCTCCAGCAAAGGCTTCATCTTATCGCCAGATTTAGAAGTGATTGAGCTGTTTATGAATGACTAACTATATATTGCCTCCAGCAAAGGTTTCATCTTATCGCCAGATTTAGAAGTTAACTAGCCCATCCTTGCAGTGGACTAAGCAGTGGGCTAAATGCTCTCATGCAATATATAAATGAAAGCAACCCATAAAATTTGTAAAAATTGGTGACTAGATCACATCATGAGCCAGTGACCTGGAGTGGCTAGCTTTGGACTAGCTTGGTGCAGTGCTTAGAGCTTTGAACTAGTCCTAAGAAGATCTGGGTTCAGATGCTCACTTGGCAGTTTGGGTGACTTTGGGCCCACATGACAATGAATCAGTCACACTCTTCCATTCTGACAGGATTGTTGAGAGGAGGATGAGGGGAGAAGGCTGCTTTTTTGGGTTTGTTTGAGAAGGCTGCCTTTTTTGGTTTGTTTCCAGCACATGGTCATTGGAAAAAAGACAGGCTATAACCCATCTTTCCTCCAGTGACAGGAGGAAGACCAGGAGGAACTTCTATCTCCAAAGATAGGAAGGAATTAACGGTCTTTCTACCCCAGGCCTGTTTTCTTCTGAAAATGATACAGTTCTGTTTTTGAATTTTAAAACATATTGCTAATACCAGTACCACCCATTATCCTCATCACATTTGTTGTAAGTGGAGAATTCTGACTGAACAAAAGCTGCTGGGTGGGAAAGCTCACTGTAAATTCTAAAGGTTAGAAGTGGGAATTAAAGGTAAAGGTAAAGGTTCCCCTTGACAATTTGTCCAGTCGTGTCCGACTCTAAGGGGTGGTGCTCATCCCAGTTTCCAAGCCATAGAGCCAGTGTTGGCCCGAAGACAGTTTCCATGGTCACAAGGCCAGTGTGACAAGACATGGTACTGCTGGGTGGGAAAGCTCACTGTAAATTCTAAAGGTTAGAAGTGGGAATTAAAGGTAAAGGTAAAGGTTCCCCTTGACAATTTGTCCAGTCGTGTCCGACTCTAAGGGGTGGTGCTCATCCCAGTTTCCAAGCCATAGAGCCAGTGTTGGCCCGAAGACAGTTTCCATGGTCACAAGGCCAGTGTGACTAGACATGGTACGCCATTACCTTCCCACGTAGTGGTGCCTATTTTTCTACTGGCATTTAACATGTTTTCAAACTGCTAGGTTGGCAGGAGCTGGGACAAGTGATGGGAGTTCACTCTGTCGCATAGATTTGAACTTCTGATCTTTCAACCTTGCACCCCAGAAGTTTGTGGTTTAACCTGCAGCACCACCACATTCCTTAGAAGGGGCATTACTCAAGCCCAAATCCCACCCCCATACAAAATGCATCACAAATCACAGCAAATCATAGCTTTGTGCTATCGCATGCCTCAGATCATTCAGTCTAAACCCAGTGCTCAGTTGCCTACATAAACCCAAGATGATGAACTGCGTTCCCCAGATTAGGCTCCAGCATCTTGGATTGCTCCATTAAAGTTCATATTGAAGTGGATTCATCACCTACAAAATTAGAAGCATCACCACCAGCAGCAGCCAAACATGAGTAGGTTGCAGTTTTAAATAATGAAAATGGAAGACACAAAGGAGAACATAAATTGGCTGGCTAGCTAGCTCAGTAGTTTATGTATCTGGCTGCATAACCAGAGGTTGGGAATTTTATTCCTCACTATGCCTCCAGGGAGAAGGGCCATCCTGTGCGGCTTTGAACAAGCTGCACAGTCCCAGAGTATTTCCAGAAGGAGGGAATGGTAAACCACCTCTGAGTATTGCCTACCTGGAAAACCCTGAAAAGTGTCACCATAAGTCAGAAGTGACCTGACAGCACATGATTATTATTAAGAACATAAACTGCACAATTAGCAAGCAGTTTCCACTATATGTTTAATAACTTAGATTACCCAGATCTGCAGTACTGAAAAATCCCTATCCTACCAGAATCTGGAGTAGAAGGTGCACATCCTCCTGCCCAGACTAAGTCAAAGGGGACTATGGTCAGTAGGGCTTGGATCTTAAAACTAGCCCAAAATTGTATTTCTAGTACTAGCTGGCAAGAAGCAACTTTGGAGAGAATCTGATCCTGCTCCTCCAAAGATAGCAAATATACTATCTGTTTAGCATCTATCTATGTTCAAATACATGTACACTTGACTTCCAAGGTTCTGTCAACGTGATTACCAGTAAGACAACGTGCACATGAATAGCAAACATGGCTGGGCTTCTACCTAATTCCATGTGTGCACCTACTTTAGCTGGAGGCAATGCACATAAGCAAACTCCTGTGACCAAATGGAATAGCTGTGGCAAAAAGAAACTAAACATAGACAATTTCTGACATTAATTAGAGAAATCCTTTACAGAGAATTAGAAGACTGGCAGAGCCAAACACTCAAAACAGGTAAGCTATGGAAGGCGTAAGGAAACAGATTGTCATGACATGCAATCCATCCAGCCTTATCTCTAATATGTCTGATTCACAGTTCTGAAGTGAACTGTATGTGTTCCTCCCCCTAATTCAGCTTCTGGGGGTTCCCATACAGAGCTTTCAATAAAAACACTTTTACCATGTCACTCAACTCTTCGGGAGGGAAACCAGGATGACTGACACAATCAATGCTTTTGAAAGGAGGCTCTGCATGCAAGTCAGGTTGAGGACATTGCTTCTTAATGGATAAATATGACCAGCTGTACACATGGTTTTGGTATCGGCTGAAGAGGAAATATATAGTGCACAGAGTGCATCTTGTGTTCTTTGGAACTGGTCCTACTTTGGGACAATGGCAGGTACACAGCTTGTGCTGATGTTCATCCCAGTTTCTTGTTTTTATTTTTGCCGACATAGTAGTGAATTGTGAGGGTTGTATTGACAAAGCCAGGGCAATGGAAAAAGAATGTTCCTCCAATGGAGGAAGGAAACAGATGGGTAAGGTTAACTAACAGGCTTTCAACCTGATTGAAGCCAAGCAGATACTCATACCAAATAATCCTAACAGTTCTTATTAAAGAAAAATGACCTGATGAGTTATATTTGCAAAAACAGTATAGATCATGGAAAATATTATAATTACTAACTTCTGATTCATGAATATAAAACTCAAATATTTATATTCAAGGTGAGTACAGAGTTTGTAGACAGTGCATAGCATTTCAGAGTGTCTTAAAACAGAGAGGAGCATACAGATATATATACATATATTTACAGCTAGCAGAATTAGAAAAAACAGAGAGGAGCATACAGATATATATATCTTTTTACAGGTAGCAGAATTAGAAATGGGGACGATTCATCATTTTGGCGAGTTGTCCTGCTTTGTGATTTGTCAAAGTTCACAAAGTTCCCCCCCTGAACAGACGAAGCACAAATTTATTTGTTGATTCATGGGGGTGGTGGTGTTACTTAAAAAAAAAAAGGCAGGCTAGGAGAATCCAGGCTGCCCTTTGCAAAGATGGCAGCTGCAGCTTCCCTACCCTAAATGAAGCTGCAGTCACCATCTTTCCAAAGGGCAGCCAGTGTCCCTTTCTTTAGGCTGTGGCTGCAGAAACCAGATGGTAGGGAGAGGAATGGGGCAGGGGATACGCAGTGGGGGGTGGGCTGCTGTGGGAATGGGTGGCTACCTATTGACATGCCAATCAGCTGATCAGCGGGCCGGTAGGCAGAATTGGAAAGCCATAGGAAGAGAGGGAAAGCTAACCTTCCCTCTCTTTGTATGGGAGACAAAAAATGGGGAACTATTCATCCCTTCATATTCATGGGGGTCTCTGGAACCCACAAATATGAAGGGATGAATATTTAACCATTCAGCGATTTCTGATGAATATTGTGATCCTTTTTTTTTATTCATCTCCATGTCTAAGCAGGATCATACAATAATATAGTCATTTCTAGGATATGTGCACGCCTACAATATTAACCATCAAAACTTTGCATCCAGAGCTTGGAAAGTTTCAGTTACAATTCTACAGCCCACCAAAGTTCTTAGTTGTCTTCATAGTTGCCATTTTTTAAAAAGTAACTTTTCAGTGTGCTATTGCTATAGCAATTAACACAGTGGCATTTTCATTACTTTTGTTACTTAAACCTGAATGCAGCAGCCTAGGAGCAGAACATACCAGCACTTGGACCTTTGAATTTTCTCAACAACAAAAAAAGTGAGGTGAAACCCTTTAAACTAGAAAAGTAGCTTTAAAAACTGCCGTGGACTGCAAAAGAAATAATGTCGTCTCTCATTAGATTACAATTAAAGTACACATTAGATATGATTTTGTTATTGGAAAAAAGAACTGATTAGCAGACCAGGTCTTGGACTACACCCCAAGAGACTTGGATTCAAATCCCTGGAAACTCAGTGGAAATTTATAAAAAATTAACCCCTCCTTGAACATCTAACTTCCCTCAAAAATCCTTTTATGACTGCTTTAAGTCAAGTGCTTCTTCGCAAAGCTCACAGTCAAACTGTAGAAGATGGTGGCATTTGCATAGCTTGAAAAAGGAGACGAAACAAATTCATGAAGAATAAGGCTTTCAATTGCTATTGGTCCTGGTGGCTACATTTTACCTCAGATATCAGAAGTGGCAGTTCTCTGAATGCCAGCTGCTTGAGCTTACAAGCAAAAGAATTCCCCTGCAGCCTGTAATGTCCTGTAAATATCTACGTAGTTCACCAGTGTGAGAAAGAAGGTGGACTACATAAAGCTTTGGTCTGATTCACAGGAGT